ATTCATGAGGTCCTAGAACAATTGTACATTGCGGCGCTATTCCTAAACGTCAAGGGTGGATGCCAGATCTGGCTCAGGCACATGGCAACCATCCACGACGTCCAGGTCAACAACTTACACAAGAAAGATCTTCTGGGAAGATCTAACGAGAGAATGGAAGAAGCGGTCGGTTCATTGTTGACGACGCCCCGACGCTCGCCATCAACCGCCTCTTCACCATGACTCAAGGCGACACATCGACGCGCGATTGGCTCACGGAATGGCAAACGATCGTGGCAACACCCGATCCCGACTTGTCATTTCCACATCTGCGCCGAGAGTTCGACAACCGGTCGTGTGCCACCTTGAGCCTCGCCGTCGGCGCGAATACCCTTACAAGGGTATCCGCCCTGTTTTTTGCAAGTGACAAAAAATAAGTTTCGTTCGAAATTTTTATATACCGTGCGAAGTCACGGTTGCGTTTTGTTCACATTGACTAAATGGTTGATTGGAAGTAGGAAGTGTGTGGGCGCGCAGTTTTGAGGGGTGAGTGATGATTTTTTGATGCAGCTATAGAGTCGGCGTTTCCGCCAGCAGAATTTTTGGCTTTGATTAAAACTAGGAATTTTTTTTATTAAACTGACCATGGTACATCTGCTTTCATACGACATGCGTCACCGGAAGTGGTGTTGCCTTGGGCAGTAATTGGGGCGTGCACTCCGGGGGCACGCGGTGACCTAGTTAGATGGATGACTAGTATGAGGGACGGGCTCACTCAACACAGTGCGAGCTAGAAAAGAGTTAGGATCTGGATTAGCATCCCGTGTACGTTGGTCGCGCGCACACTGTCGGAATTACGGTCGATGTCGGGGCTGACCATTGAGACCAAGTTTCTTCGACGCCAAGATAGTAAGGACGCGACTTTTTTTAAAGTAGTATGGCGGGTCGAGAAGGCCAAAAGTCTACCTGACGGCACTATTAGGCTAAGTGCACAGCAAGCACAAGCGAGAACCGCCCCTAGAGTGGGAGGTGCAGGCGCAAGGTGACCATTGGACTCGGATAGTAGGCAAGGCGGTGGCCCCCCCGCGGCATTATGGGGGCTACGAGCGTGACGTGCCGAGCGAAATCCGACCCATAACAGCTTGTGCGTGCGTACGGGGCCGTGGGGTTGATGGGAAATCAAGCAGCAGCCATAACGCTACTGCTGCAGGCCCAGGCTGGCCACAGTTACCATTTACATGCCTGGTGGCGCGCACCCAGTCCAAGCTTGGGCTTAGCCCTATTGGTTACAGTGCTAGATTTTCACCAGGCGGATCTCGAGATTGAGGCCAGCAGGGAGCAGCAGAGCAGCGAAGGAGTGGAGGAGCGTCTTATGGAGGAAACTGAGGGGTTGAGGGTCCCGTAGGACTATCCCCCTCAGTTTTGTTGGGGAGTCCGACAGCGGGCCCGATAAGCAGGACTGAGGACAAGGTTCCAACGGTCCTTTCCTCTGCACCCCCCCTTTCTGTTCCTTTTCCTATTTTATCTTTTTTAAATTTTTAATTTTTGTCCCATATCGGGACACGGTCCGGCACCGGTCTTGCGACCAGTCGTACACCCAAGCGCCCAGTTCAGTGGGTTCACCCATGAATTGCTGAAATACGGACTCACGTTGAGCCCAGATGAGGCAAGACTAACAGCACTACCTAGTGGTAAATTATCTGGGCCAGGCCAGTACTGGGAGCATACCCCAAGCCTGTGCCCGCGGCCTGTCCTTCGGGACATCTGGTAAAATTGGAACGATACAGGGAAGATGGGCATGGCCCGCTAAGTGGGAGGCACCTGAGCAGGGAGAGGCCAGCGGTGCTGAGGCGGAGGCCGCACCGATACCGCTGTGCCAATCGTGTGTCTGGCAAGGTATATAGGCGAAAGACTAGTCGGACCGACTAAGTGTCGGTTCCCTCCGAGGATGCCCTCGGGATAGCCGGCGCAGTCGAAATACAGGCTGCAGCGAACTTTCCCACGGCCGGCTGCTGCGCTAGCAGCTGGGAGAAGGCGACGAGTCTGGCCAGGATGAATCCGGGCGCATTTCCCCGCCGGATCCGGTCAAAAAAAGGAGCGCCAGGGAGCAGGGGAATGCGGAGTACCAGAAGGGGTGACAGGGCCGACAGGGCTCCTACCACAGGTTCCCGCAGGATGACCGGAGCTGCGGAGCAGTTCGATTGCACGGCTGAGCGACCAGGCGCTATGACGAGAGTGACGGATGCGACGAAGGAGGGAGAATGGAAAGAATCGGGATGAGGTTTCACGCCAGATGCGATCTACGAAGAAGATGAAGGCAACAAGGAGGGGGAGTGAAGGCAGCGAGGGAAGGACTAGACGGAGGGGACGCTGCAGGAGAGCATGGAAAAAGGGGGAAGAGAACCTTGATGTAGGGCCTGGCCAGGTTCATGCGGGAATAAGGTGGAGATGGCGGATGTAGAAGAGGAAGAAGAGGAGTAGCTCGCCCAATCCACCACGGAATCGGGCAGGGAAAGAGGCTAGATGGGGGTTTTAGGACAGGGCGAGGTCGTTAGTGAAGTTAGTTTTAGGAGAAAGTCGATAGAATGGGAGATAGGGGAGAAGTGAGGTGCGCGGAGAAGTGAAGAGAGGCGGCTATGGCCGAGATCAAAAGTGCATACCTCGCTCGTTTCTTGATGAAAATGAGCGAGGGAGGATTCTAAATGGGGGGTTTGGGTCATTCCGAGTTGAATGACCATATTAGAATTTTGAATCAAGTGATGGTTTGGCCAGCAGGAATAACTGAGGCTGCGCTCGAAGGTAAAGACTACGACCGCTATTAAGTGGGAGTGAATCCGGTCTTGTTTAGAGGAAGATTCGTTCGATTTTGCTCACCTTATGGATGAAAGTAGTGAAAGGCTGGCCGCGGTGTTGGAGACTTACCTGCTAGCCGACGCATGCTAGTGGAGCACTCCTTCGATTTGGCTCATCTCAACTGTAGAAGTGGCATGAAGAAGATCGATCTCGGAGTTGAAGACATACCTGTTTTTACGGTGCGCTGCTCACATGACCGACGGGAGGAGCCGGAGGCGGGAGTGAGTTGGAGGCTACCGAGGGGTATGTGCGCAAGAGAGAGAGTAGCAGGTGAACGGAATGCAGTTGAGATATTATCAGGGTGTGATGGGACTGTTGTCAGGACAGGTCGAGACGGGCGACTGGGACAGCGTATTGTTGCCAGCCGCATGCAACATTTTTGCAGCTTTATGAGTAAAGAATGCGAGACAACGAAGAAGACATGGGAATGTCGTCTAATCATTATGCTTAGGGGTGAGGATGCTTCTCGTTGTCGTGCTTTGAGTCGAGGGGTATCTCTGGCGAACGCCGTTCGTTGGCCATTCTTGCAGTTGGCTGATCGTGTCTCCTGTCTGATCTGTCACACTTACCGGTTTGCCCCATCCAAACAATGCTTGCGACCGGCTGATGTATTCCATGGCGTTTGTCTGCGTTCGCTTCTGCTTCACTGTGACGACACACAAGGGGTTTGTCTTGTCGAAGCTTTGTCTTTCCAGCCCTCACTTTGTGAATGCTGCCCAGTCGTTTCTATGCGTGCCAAGCTTTGTAATCAGGTGGACGGAGTGGCGAGCATGCAGAGCCAGTAGTGTTGGTGGACGTGCATGCCCGCCAATGAGCGCTCATGCTGTCAAGTGCTGATCGTTGGCTTCTTGGCTAAGTAAGGCTATGTTGTAAAGAAAAGATGCAATGAACGGAGAACGAAAACCGAAACTACGGAGGTTATCGGCGGATGCTACCGCAGGCTTGTTTGAGAACAACGCATTCTTTGATCCTGGATGCAAGCAGACTCGGTAGGCAGTCCCGAGCGGGGTGTCGTTCAGGTACCCACGACTTGAGTCTGCATGTACGAGTCGCAAATAAACGTGTCCTGCTCATACTGCCTCTGACTCTCTGAGAGCTTTGCAGAGCTTAGGAGTTCAAAGGCTTGAGCGCCTTGAAGTTAGTCGGGCCGAGCTAAATTACTTAAGACATGGTGGTAGTATAAAGCTTCGGTAGAGAAGGCACCGGTAACCGGTTCTTTGTCTGTTGGTTCCTTGGAAATTCCCAGACGAGATCTTAAAAGGACATCCTAACTGCAATTTCGAACGACTTTTAAATCACTGCGGTTCTTGGTGCATGTGTGAGTGCGTGCCTGAGCGTGCTCGCAGATGCAGGTGTGTGGATGTGAGTGTGTTTAGAGAGAGAGAGAGAGAGAGAGAGAGAGAGAGAGAGAGAGAGAGAGAGAGAGAGAGAGAGAGAGAAGGAAGAATTAAAGGAAGGTAGGGGTTGCGACAGAGTAGGAGGACAACAGTGTAGGCTCGACAGGTGTATCTACCCATGTTCCAGCAGAAGATTCAGGCTCAGTTTTGCTAGAGGATAAGGCAGCGGTAGCGATTGTTTGCAACACAGCATCCTCCAGTGTTCAAGCGGGAGTTTCATTCTCATATTGTGTGCCGGTGTACCTGGCTGATCCAGCGAATAGTCATTGCTTATTTTGAAGACTAAGCCTTGCACGTCTAAGTGTGAGCATACTGTGCTGTGAAACTGCGAATGGCAAAAAAAAAAAAAAAAAAAAAAAAACTGCGAATGGCACATGGCCGATAAAGTAGCTTGGGTTCGGGTTGAAGGGGGTCTGTCTCCTGATTAGGGGGGTAAAGGGGATAAGACTCTACACCTACCCAAGGGGGGATCGGCCTAAGAGAGGATCTACTAAGTCAAGGGAGGGAGGACAAGACTGTTTAGAGTGTGCCCAATAGCACCCAGTTGGAGGTTGGATCTGTAGGGGCAGTAACCTGATCTCTAGTGGCAAGCTGGTAGGTGCGGGCAGGGACACGGCTTGCGATAGGAAGGGGCCTTCAAAGCCTCTATAAGGACCCGTCTAAGGATGATCCAGAAAGCTAAGGGTTGTGGGTCATCTCGAACCTCGAGTGGATGAACCCCGAAGAACATCCCCGTGCCTGAGGCCGTGCCTCTACAACAACCTGGGCGTTTCTTAAAAAAAAAAAAAAAAAAAAAAACTGTGAATGGCTCATCGAATCGGTTAGTGCTTGTGGAGATCTCCTTACCACTCGGATAGCCGGGGTATTTCTAGAGTCGGTACGTGCAGCATATCCCGACTTCTGGAAGGAATGTATTTATTGAATAAAAGGTCGATCAGCGCTTACCTTTAGCTACCCGCATGTGGCGAGGTCGCAGCCAGATTCGGTGAGACGGGATATCAGCAGAAAAGGAGGGGACGAAGCAAGGGAGGCAATAGAGACAGCGTACCTAGTCACGTCGGCAGTCTGCAAGGTTGACATCTGCATGCACTTTGGTTGCGGCTGCTGCCCGTATTATTGTTCAAAGTCATCTTCTCCACCGCACTGCTATCCTACTTCGAGAGGAACTACAGACTGTGTTTTTTGGGCAGCAACCTGCGTTTCAGAGTTTTGACCGGTGTGCTTCGGATCGCAGACCATGCGGATGGCTGAACTGTTGCTGCTAAAAAAACATACCGGAATCATACTACCGTAGAGTGCAGATGTTGCTCTTTGGCAAGAGCGGTACCGTTGCTGTTCTCAATAGTGGCATGGCTGTTGTGTCCATGTTCTGGTGTTGAGAGGCTACAAACGAGCTCGCATACAGATCACAGGGCTGGTCTGCGATATTCCAGCAACCATTTTGTTTTGCCCGTCTTGAGAGCTTTGCTGCACGTGGCACTGGACATCACTGTCATGACTGTGTACGGCTGCTGTTCTTTGGCAATGCACACTGTTTCTGCTGCGTAAGTGCGACATTTTATTTGCAGTAAGGGCGCGGCTCTTCTAGGCTGCGTGGCTGCTCATCGGTCAGAATCGGTAAAGGGGTCGTTCTTGCTACTTGGAAGTCTGTCAGAGTGAGGCCGCTCTGCATTTTGACTGCGGATCGACTGACGTTGCTGCGAGTTCAGGCTACCATTGCGGGGCCCTCAGGCGCATCCAGATTACAAGGCCCTCTCCCGCGAGTCTGAGCGCACCCCTCTTGTATCTGAGAGTCTAAATACCTCTTTTTTCTGCCTTTCTTAGTCTAAGTCTCGTCTTTTGGTGCTGAGAGGAAGGCGGCAGGCGGGATTGCAACCCGTAGGACCGCAACAAGACCTTGTGGGAGGTCCACCCACCGATTGCGGGAGCTCTGCCGGAGCCTAGGCGGGGTTCTGGAGGCAGGGAACACTCAGGTATAATCTCGTTTGACGCGTGTGATCCCTTCCCCTAACTATTATCCATTGGGTATCTGAATACAAGTATGGAAGGATATTACTTTTTGTTTTGTTATGAATGTCAGGACATGTTTTGTGCAAGGCTACATGAACAAGTATATGTGAGCGTTCAGATAAACCTTGAGAGAATTCAGGCGAATTGAATTGGGGGGAAGGTGGGAGAAAGGTGTTTTGCATGCGTTTGATTGGGTCAACCCAAGGCTGAGCTCCTCTAAGTTGATGTGGGCTCAGTGCTATGTTTTATTTATGTTTGCTGGGCTGGCCGTATGAGCTTTGAGGACTGGGCCTATCCTAAGTTGGACGGAGCAGTCGCTGTTTCTTTGGGGGTTTCTGGACAGGAGGACGGGCGCCCTAAGTTGGGAAGGCTCAGAATCCTGATGTTTCTTTCGGGGTTGCTGAAAACAGAGATGGGAATATTCTAAGTTGCGTAGACCCAGTTCTGTGTGTGTTTTCTTCTGAGGAGGACAAAGGCATAAGACTAAGCGTACCCTTAAGTTAGGGCGGCTCAGTCATAAGCCATGAACAAAAAGGCCAACCAAAAGTATATAATTTTGATATATATTATACGAATCTATACCATCTGGCAGACCGGGCACCCTAAGTTGGGAAAGCCAATCAGTAAGTCAGGTAGAACAAGAAGAGAAGATAAGCAAGTGAAGAATATAATGAAGGTAATTCGGGCAGGCTGGGCGTACCCTTAAGTTAGGGCGGTTCAGTCTTATGCTTGTGATAATATAAAGGAGCAGAGAGTTGGTATAAATCTTCTTTTATTTTCCCTTCTAAACACCAGGCAGGATTGGATGTCTCCCTAAGTTGGGTAGGTCTGATCATCTGCCTAATAAGAGAGAAAAATATAAAGTTTGTGTCAGTATACCAATGGTTGTTCTCTTATATTGTTGTTACGGAGACTAAGCGTACCCTTAAGTTAGGGCGGCTTAACCATACGTCGTTTGTTTTTGTTCAGGCAGATCAAGCGTACCCTTAAGTAAGGGCGGCCTGGTCATATTGTCTTATGTACCTAAAACTGTTTAGGCTAGCTAGGCGTACCCTTAAGTTAGGGTGGCCTAGTGATATGCCCTTGTCGTTGACGTGATGTAGGTTGGACGTACCCTTAAGTTAGGGCGGTACGACCTTTTGTCGTTCGTACTTGTTTTAGGCAGGTTAGGCACACCCCTAAGTTGGGGCAGCCTAATCCTATGCCCTACGTAACTCTGTCTAAAGCTGATTAGGCATACCCTTAAGTTAGGGCAGTCAAGTTTCATGCTTCATGTCGTCAGTTAAGCAGAAGTCAGACGTACCCTTAAGTTAGGGCGGTCTGGGCATATGTTTTATGACTAGAGTCGATGTTGTGTTGGGCATACCCTTAAGTTAGGGCAGTCCAGTTGTGCGTAATTTTACTTGTTTAACTTAGGCAGGTAAGACATACCCTTAAGTTAGGGCTTTGTCTGATCGTATGCCATAAGCAAGGGGGACATACAAAGGGAGAAAAAACTGAGTGATCTAACGAACTACTTGGGTCAAACTGATGTGGGATTGTGAGAGATGTTTGTTTATGCATGCTTGTGGGTTCTCACTCTGGGACGTCTTTTCGATAGGTTAGCTGCTTAGATGCTCGCCAAGTGCTGGAGCCATAGGTAGATGAGATGGATGATGGGAGGGAAAGCTTGGGATAAAGATAGGACCGACCTTACTTTAAGATAAAATTGATGATAGCTCACGATACCATCTTCTGGAAGGGGTCGTGTAAACTATCTTTGGTCCTAACTATCAAGCAAGTGTCATAAGTTAGCCCCAAGTATAGCTTGCTTTGTTTTTTTGTTTTCAGCTTTGTGTAAATCTTGACAGTCTCCTGTTCCTACGGGAAGCGGTGCCGAAATTTCTACAAATCTGAAAGAGTTAGTTATTTTTGGACTCGTCTAAATTCTGGAAAGGCACTTTTCCTACGGGAAGCGCTGCCGAAATTTTGTAGAAATTGGAGAGTTAGATTATTTTCAGCTAGGAGAAAGTTGGCAATCCATCCTGTTTAGGGGATATGCTACCGGAATTTCTTACACTTTTAGATAAACATCAGAGGTTAGTTAGGGAGGTAGGATTATTTCCGAATCACCCAAGGATGGCTTGGGTATTGGCCTGTGCTGTATTGCAGGTCACCTTTATTCAGATTGATTCAAAGCTTGACTATCTTCAAGCTGGTCCTACGAGGATCATTTTCTGTTATCCTTTGATAACAGGTCGGTTTCCGACTCAACTCTAATCCACTGTTGCCACTCAACCTAAACGCTTTAGCCCTCTGGTTTGATTTGTTTTGTTGTGTTTTCACCCGGACTTAATTGAATGACCATTTAATCAAGATGCTGAGTATTTTATTTTGAGAGTTGCGCAAAGAGTGAGGTTTGTATGGCTAAAGCGAGGGGTGTGAGCGCAGAGAATGGTTGAAGTTGACCCCGTGTAGTGTGTGCTCTGTTAATGTGGATCTTTGATGTGATTGCAGGTATGTTTTGTGAGTTGAATCCATACTTGATTTTGTCAACGATTATATAAGGAAGTCGCACTGTGATTGTGAAAGTGATTGTCACCTATCTCATAACTTTTATATCATAGTTTCTCGTGTCCGCGCGACCCATGGAGGTCGCGCATAGTGACTAAATAAGTTCTGCATCGAGAGAAAAGAGAGATCCCTTCTTAGCTCTTGCTTTTTAAAATTGGTATAGTGGGATGTTGTAGTCTGTGGCAGCCGTCGAAGTCAAACCCCTTGATCTCTGGCCGCCACGACAACTTGGAGCTATCTACTCAACCCCTTTGCACAGGGTGCAGAAAAGGGTGTGGTCTTCAACTGCGCATGGCGGTTGTCCAGCGTCGAGAGATTAACCCTCAAGGCGCATGTCAGCCGACACTTGAGTGTCGAACGCGACCCTCGAGATTAACGAGGATCGCGTGAGTATGGGTACTACATAGTACGCCATCATTGCGACCGCTTGCGTACGCTTGCATTGCAGATCGATATGAGTTAGCCCCGCATCCGCGCGGTTTTATACTAAGCCTCGTGCTTGACGCCTAACCGAATTCTGGCTCAGAGAGTTATGGGTCGGGTACTGAAGGGACTAGGAGTGTTGTTATGTTGATGTGATGTTGTGTTATTTGTTTTGTGTGTGTGAGTGTTGTGGTGTAACGCGTGGTATGTAGGATGCGTCCTAGTCGACCGACGTCGAGTCACGTTTGGGACTTCAGCCCCCCAGAGCGTCGATTTGCGTGCGGGTTCGATTTTGGGCATTGACCGTGCGTACCCCCTATGCTACAGCGAACGAGAAACGCCCTCGACTGGGCCACCTCTGCAATTGCATATGAAAAGCCTTTGCATGTGGTTCAGTAGCTCGGTGGGGATACGCCCACCTAAGGGATGGTGACAACTCTCGCAGGTGGAGGTAGCGGTGCCTCGCGTGACCCTGACCTGTCGTAGGGGCTCGCTAGAGGTACGGCTGGCGCACTCGGCCGGAGCGGCAAACGCTCTCCGCGACAAGTCTTGTCAAATCCTGCGTGACGTGGCCGGGAGGGTCCCCGTGCGGGACCGATGCGCTCGACATCGTACTCGGTGATCGCAAGTTGTACACGACCTTTGCCGAAATCATCGACAAGGCGCGAGAGATCATCAAGACCAACCGGGTTGCTGCACACGAGAAATCAGCGTGGCAGCCAGCCTATGTGGAGAATGGAAAATTTGGTCCACGTCCTCAGCCCGTCGCTGCAGTCCAACCAGACAACATTGTGGAAGACCCGACAACCACCCCTGCATCACGTGAGGGAGATCAGATGGTCGTTGTCCAGCCGAGAAGCACCAACAACTCCCGTGGAAAAGGGAGGGCGAAAACCGCATCGTCGGCCGGAAACGGACAGCCAGTACAATGGGTCAAGTTTAACTTGACCGAGGCCGAATACAAGTGGCGCAGCCGGTATGGCTGCTGCTATTGGTGCAACAGCTCCAAGCACAAGACCTCCCAATGCCAGGATCAAGGCAAGGAGAATGTTCGACCTCGAATTAGCTCGGGAAACTGAGCTGCACGAGAGGTGAGGCAACTCCACCTCCCACTCCACCAGATTTGGCCGCCTTGCTAGCGGCCTCCTAAACATCTGGGGAGAATGCGGATGTCGCGAGTCCTCGATTCACTTGGTTGGACCAACCACTCCACGTGCAACATTCCACCCCATGCACGGTTTCACCACCATCGGCAACCGATTCGGCAGGTTCGCCAAAAACTATCGTCGCGGATTCGACGTCATGGTCAGGACCTGAAGAACTCGACCCGTTGACGTTCGTGGACTTCCAATGGATGCCCCTTCCTCTGACCGGTCAATTGCCGAAACCGCATTGCAACATGCTCAAGGCACAATTGCGGATTACTTGCACACTGCAGTACCAACCCCGTTGATGGACGCCGGAGTAGAGGTTGTTGACCTTCACGACTACGTTGCGAAGATCGACCGCGAGTTCAAGACAACGGTACGACGACATTGACGCGCCATTGTTGTACATACGCATTCAGATTGGAGAGGCGACCTGCAACGCTTTGATCGATTGCGGAGCTGCTCGCAACTATATCAACCAAGACTTTATGGTACGAACTGGCCTTGGGCCACGCGTTCGGAGGAAGTCGCAGCCCACGCAAGTCACGTTGCCTGAGGGTCACACGCACAGGTCAATCGACCGGTGCATTGACTCCGTCCCCGCGTACTTTGCCCCGGATGCAATCATCTGCACCACTGATCTACGCCGACTACGAGCGACGTAGACTAGCTACAGAAGCTTCACATCCTGCCCCTCCCACCCGGACTTTTGTCCTCCGTCCGACCGACAGCTTCGCCCTAGCAGGTAAGCTTGGTCTTTCAAGGACGAGGGGGCGGTGTGGCATGCTACGCACCACACGGGCCCTGGAGGACCCGACCAGGCAAAAGTAAGGGCCCTCCAGGCCCTGAGTCTTTTCAGCCTGAAAAGGAGGGCCAAATCTTAGGCCCTCATCAAGTCGACCTCCCCTGAAACTTAGGAGCCAGACCAGGGATAAGCGCAGGCCACTTTTAGGCCCTCATCAAGTCGACCTCGCCTGAAACTTAGGTACCAGACCAGGGATAAGCGCAGGCCATTCTTAGGGCCGTTTCAAGACAACCTTTGTTTGGACATCAGCGCCAGGGTCTGGCACGATTCGGCATGGGCAAGAGCAGCCTCCTAGCCGGGCCAGCACTATAAAGAACTGGTCCGCCAGGCATTTAGGCAGGTAGTCACGCGGACTTCCCAGGCAGTTCTTGGGCCCTTCAAGTGCAGGAGGCAGGAGGCAGTCTTCAGGATTCGGTAGCAGCACTCTGGAGGAGCGTTGCAGTAGTAATAGTAGCGTTAGGGGTAGTCTTCAACGC